CCATTTTTCATGCCATGGATTGATTGTGAATATGTAATTTTATGTGAATGTGATGTATGGTTTTAAAGTTATTAAAGTTGGGTAGAAAGTATGTTTTAACTGTATGTGTAATTGAGTTTCCTCTCAGGATAAGGGGAGGGAATATGTGGGATGTAACTGATATGTGATTGGTTGTTTTATACCTCCCTGTGGGCGGTCCTGTATGTGAAAGACTGTAATAAAAACCAGGCTGGGTGTGCCAGCACAGGAGTTCGTGTTTTAATCCTCAAAATGAAGTGTTGTCTCATTATTGGGGGAAGGATTTATTGTATGCTGTTCCAGTTTGACTGCTAGGAGAGTAAACCTATTCGTATGGTTCCTATTCAACTTACTACAGCATTCATATGCTTGGGAGAATTTATTTGTTTCTCCGGTTCGGTGATTGTGGTGTCTGCCAGAGTGCTTGGAGTCCTCAGGAAGCGCTAGGAGCATCCTTCAACGGAGGTACCCAGTCGGGGTGCCAGGCGATCCATTACATACTTGATTCTGGCCTGTAAATTCTATCTTTAAAACATAGCCCGCATCCACCCCTTTCTTACGCAAGATGCTACCAAGGAGATTGTCCATGCTCTATTAATTTCCCGTATCTATTATTGTAACCTTCTCCTAATGGATCTTTGTGACAAACTCCCCTGTCCTCGTGAGTTTGTCACAAGCTCCTGGAGGAGCCTGCTTGTCAGTCTCCTACCCACGACTATGGGCCAGGTCAACCACTGTAAAGACCCATATTTTATTCCCCCTGGTTCAGCACTTTGCATTCGTATGCATAGAACCGAATGCTAGCTCCCTGGCTGCCGTTCGCATGGACCAAAACTGCGAATAGACTTCAGGGGGACTTAGCCGTGAAAGCCCTGGAACTATTTTCGTCATGAAGACTTCTCGATTCCCGGTCGGTCCCCAGCAGCACTTAGCCACGATGCCATGAAACTATTTTCAGCATAAAGACTTTGCCGTTCCTGGTCGATCCACTTGGCCAGGATTCTATGGAACTATTTTTGGCCAGGGGTCCATGCATGTGGTCACTCAAATTATGACTTCCAGGAAATTCCTGAACCCCTGAACCGATCTGGGTGATTTTTGGATATGTTGGTCACCCAGATCGTGGCTATCATTGGATGTAACTTTTGTGCTTGGAGATAATTGAGTTTAATACAATCCTTGACGCAATTATCTCCCAGGCATTAGAGGGATTATCTTGTTTTGTATGGGAGTGTCCTGGACCTGAGGGCCAATGTAATCGTGAGTATGTTTTTACTGTAGTCTACTCTCAGGTCCAGGGGAGGGTGCCCCTTGCATGGGGACCTGCATATAAGGCCAGTTGTGGCTGCCATTAAACGTATTCCAGCTTGTACTCCCAGAACTATGTGTCGTCTGGTTACTGGGAGGGGAGAGGACTATTCTTTAATCACTGTTCCAGTGTGGAGGATTCAATGGGGAAAGTCCTTGTAAGTACTAGAGCTCACAGGACTGAGTGTGGTCCAGTGCCTGGGAGTTGCTAGAGCGAGTTTCCCATTCACCTGTACAACCAACTCACACTTGCAGAACTTCTCGTGGACGGCTTCCTTCCTATGGAATAGCCTGCCTACCGCCATCAGTCTCTCCCATAGTCTTCAATCGTTTAAGAAGTGCCTTCAAACCCATCTCTTTAGGAAAGCTTATGGCCTCCCAGAGTAACCTCTACCTCAAGTACCTGTCTCTTGCTCTCTCCTAAAGGGCAGCACTTTACTAGACATGTGCAATTTGTTTCGTTCCGAAGTGCCAAATTGCCGAATCTCGGGGGTGCCGAAGTGCTTCGGATTTCTGAGAAGTGGCAAAACAGGAGAGGGTTGGGGTTAGGGGTTGGGGTAGGGTTAGTGGTTAAGTTAGGGGTAGGTTTAGGGGTAGGGTTTAGGGGTTGGGGTAGGGTTAGGGGTAAGGTTAGGGTAACCCTAACCCTACTCCTAACCCTAACCCAACCTCTAACCCTACCCCTAAACCAACCCTAACCCTACCCCTAACCTTACACTTACCCAAAGTCCTGAAGTGCCCAACCGAACCAAAGTACCGAAGTCCTGAAGTGCTGAAGTCCCGAATTTGGGAATGCCGAACCAAACTGAATATATTTTTCCCATGCACATCCCTACACTTAACTCTCTCCTCAAGCTCTGCTTCACTCCCACATTATCTGATTGCTATTTCCTGTCCTTACGTGTTTTATACCCCACCTCCTGTAGACTGTAAGCTTCTTTGAGCAGGGTCCTCTTCAACCTATCGTTCCTGTAAGTTTTCTTGTAATTGTCCTATAGTTAAATCCCCCCTTCTCATAATATTGCAATGCGATATGTAATCTGTTTGCGCTATCTAAATGGCAATAATAATAATAATAGTCCAGTATGCTTGGACAGCCCATCTGCATGATTGTTTTGCTTGCCTGACCGATTTTGCATCATAAAGTTATAAGGTTGTAAGGCCAGGCTCCATTGCAGTAGTCTGGAATTGTCTCCGGCTGCCCTGTTGAACCAGATGAGTGGATTGTAGTCCATCATTATGGTAAAGAAACAAAAGTACATATATGGCTGAAGCTTTTTGAAGGCCCACACCAATGCCAAGCTTTTCCATGGTGGCATAACTTCTTGGGGTTAAAGTTTTTAGCTAACTGGGTGCTTCTTGCTGTCATCCCAGACTTAGCTTAGTACTGCTACCAGTCCAAACACAGAGGCATCTGTGTGGGCAATAAAGCTTTTTGAGGGGTCAGGCGCAGCTAGAACAGTATTCAAGAGCTGACATGCTCCCTCGCACTTTGGAGACCACAGAATCCATCTTGGCAAACTCTTTTTAGTCAGTTCAGTCAGGGGTTTTGCTATAGTTCTGTAATCTGGTAAAATTTATGGTAGTACCCAGCTGTTCCCAGAAAGCCCATGAACTGGGTTTTTGTGCAGGGCTGTGGTCAGTTGGCTACCGCTTTTATTTTTGTGTGTTCAGGATGTTGCTTTCCCGACCCTACTCTGTGGCCGAAGTATTTTACCTCAGCCATCTCCACATGGCACTTATCAGGCCGGAGGGTTAACCCGGGGGCACTGATCCTATTTAATACCATCGATATGTGACTAAGATGATCTTCCCTTGTGCAGCTGAAGATGGCTATATCATCTAGAAAGGCACATGTAAAGTCCTGAAATCCCTCCAAGAGATGGTCTGCCATCCTTTAAAATGTGGCCGTAGCATTTCTTATCCCAAACAGCATGACTAAATTTATACAAGCCGACAAATGCTGACTTAGGGATGGCCTCCTGGTCCAGTGAAATTTGCCAATATCACTTGCCCAAGTAGATGGTAGTTAGGTAGTTCCCCCTTGCCATCCTGTCTTATAATTTGTCTGTCCAGAGCATCAGGTAGACATAGGTCACTGTTCAGTCATTTAACTTACGATAGTCAATACAGAAGCGTGCTGTCTCGTCTCGCTTCGGTACTAGGACTACCAGTGATCCCATGGGGCTCTGGGAGGGTTCTATTACCCATAACGCTAACATTTCCTGGATCTCCTTTAACAAATTTTCCCTGACTGCATTGGGGATCCTATATGGTTGCTGCCATAGAGGTGCCTATGCAGTGGTTTCCACCTGATGGACCGCCATGGTAGTGTATCCCTGTACAGCAGAAATTCTCTTAGCAGGCAGGTAGCCAGTTCTTGCTCTGCCAAACAAAGTTTGGTTCCTAAGTCAACCTGATATACAGTTTCTGCAGTTTTAGTTAGCAGGTCAGGCAGGGGTAAATTTTCACTATCCTCATAAGTTGGGGTGCACACCGCGGCCGCCACCTCCTTCTGCCTCTCCAAGTAAGGTTTAAGCATGTCCTATGGACCCTCTAGTCCTTGCACTGTGTTACTTGGTAGGTGGTGTCACTAATGTGTTCTATTGCCTGATATGGTCCCTGCCAAGCAAACTGGAGTTTGTCCTGTTTGGTCTGTTTAAGAACTAGGACATTTTGTCCTCTCTCAAGTATTAAGTCCCTGGCACCACGATTGTACCATCGATTTTGATGTTGCTGTGCTGTCCGCAAGTTCTCCCAAAGGAATTCAGTCAGCACTTGCAAGTGATCCCTCAGCTACAGGATGTAGGGCCCAATGGGGATCCCCGCCTCCCCTTTCCCTGTGGCAGAACTAATGTAGAGAGTGCCCTGGTACAAGAGTGGGGAAAAAGTAGATCCCATCTGTCTTACAACTCCTATGAAAGCTTGGGATCTACCATTTGTCCATTCTTGCAGGTTTGTTTTGTGAGTAGTATTTGTGTGTTTTTATGTAATGTTTGCATTTGATTGAAGGGGTGTGTTTGGATGCAATGTTGTTTTTTAAATGTGAATGTACATTTATGAGTAGCATTGATGTTTGGTGTTTTTATGAGAAGTATTGGTGTATGAGTGAATAGGTGTTTTTGTAGGTAATTTTGGAGTTTGAATGCAGGAGTGTATTTGTATGTAATGTTTCTGTTAGATTGCAGTAGTGTCGGCTCATGCCTGTCGGCTCATGCAGAGCCGGCGCTATCCGAGCGCCGGCTCTGCTCTAAGCATCCATGGGCTGGTGGGGAGATCAAAGATCTACCTCACCGGCCCACAGTTGCATGGAGGGAGGCGGGAGAGGACGTGGGAAGCTCTTGCCAGCAGCTGCGCCGGGTTTCCCCCGTGAGATCTGAGCCCCGCAGGCTAGAGTTCACTCTCCACTGGATCACCAGGGATGGCAGCAGCATGGTCCCGTCTCCCTACATAAGGTAAGAATGGAGGGGGGATATTAACTAATCTGCCCCCACCTCCACCCCCACAATCACCCAAACATACAGAACACACACACATCCAGCACCCTCACACATACAGCACACACACAGCACACTAACAGCACCCTCACACATACAGCACCCTCACACACACAGTACACTAACAGCACCCTCACAAACAAACACACACAGCACCCTTACAAACTCACAGCACACAACAGAACCCTCACAAACACACACACACACACACACAGCACCCTCACACACACAGCACACAAACAGCACCCTCACACACAGCACACTAACAGTACCCTCACACACAGCACACTAACAGTACCCTCACAAACACACGACACCCACACACATCACACAAACAGCACCCTCACACACACAGCACCCTCACACAGCACACTCATAGGACCCTAACAAACACAGCACACTACCAGCACCCTCACACACAAACAGCACCCTCACACACAGCACACTAACAGCACCCTCACAAACACACACACACACAAACACCCTCACCCACATAGCACACTACCAGCACCCTCAAACACATATCACATTAACAGCACCCTCACACAGCACCCTTACACACACACACACACACACAACACCCTCACACCACCCTCACACAGCACACTAACAGCACACACACACAGCATACATACATACATATACACAGGGCCGGACTGGGAGAAAAATTCGGCCCGGGCATTTTTTTAACACAGCGGCCCACTAAAAAGGGGGCGGGGCAGAGGAGGTGTGTTTTGTCATCACCAATGACAAACACGCCTCCTCTCAAAGTGAGCATGTTGGTTCAATGCTCTTCCAGGGCAGACCATGCGCAGAGCTCTGCTGAAGAGCTCTAGCATGAGAAAAAAGTCCTGTATTTGTTCTGCACAGTGCAAGCAAATTTAATAACATGCTTGCACTGTGTTTCCTTGCAACTTGTCTCTGGTGTCTTTATAAATGGATACCAGGAGACAAAAGGCCAGGAAAGAGTATTGTGCATATGTTTGGAGCCTGCTTGTGGTATTGCGTGTGTGTAGAGTGAGCTGGTCGTGGTGTGGTATTGTGTAATAAGGTCGGTTTTAGTCGTGTTGTGTTTGTGGTGTAATGTGATGCATATGTGGCTCAGGGACCCCCTCCCGCCCGGCTCTGGAAAGGGGTTAAAACTTACCTTTTTCCAGCGCCGGGCGGGGAGCTCTCCTCCTCCGATCCGCCCCGTCGGCTGAATGCGCACGCGCGGCAAGAGCTGCGCGCGCATTCAGCCGGTCGCATAGGAAAGCATTTATAATGCTTTCCTATGGACGCTTGCGTGCTCTCACTGTGATTTTCACAGTGAAAAGCACGCAAGCGCCTCTAGCGGCTGTCAATGAGACAGCTGCTAGAGGCTTTGGGGGAAGGCTTAACCCATTGATAAACATAGCAGTTTCTCTGAAACTGCTATGTTTATAAAACAATGGGTTAACCCTAGAAGGACCTGGCACCAAGACCACTTCATTAACTGAAGTGGTCTGGGTGGCTAGAGTGGTCCTTTAAGAGTGTAGTGTGTGTGTGTGTGTGTGTGTATATGGAAGTATTGTGTATGTGTGTGGTGCAGTGTGTTGGGGGGTTCTGTGTGTATGTGAGGGGTGCAGTATGTGTGTGTGTGAGGGGTGCGGTGTGAGTGTGATGGGTGTGAGAGTGCTGTGTGAGATGGGTGTGAGAGAGTGCTGTGTGAGAGTGCTCTGTGAGAGAGTGCTGTGAGTGTGATGGGTGTGAGAGTGCTGTGAGAGAGTGCTGTGTGTGTGAAAGTGCTGTGTGTGATGGTGTGAGAGTGCTGTGTGAGAGAGTGCTCTGTGAGAGTGCTGTGTGTGTGTGAGAGTGCTCTGTGAGAGTGCTGTGAGTGTGATGGTGTGAGTGCTGTGTGAGAGAGTGCTGTGTGTGATGGGTGTGAGAATGCTGGGTGTGAGAGTGCCGTGTGAGAGAGTGCTGTGTGTGTGTGAGAGTGCTGTGAGTGTGATGGGTGTGAGAGTGCTGTGTGAGAGAGTGCTGTGTGTCATGGGTGTGAGAGTGCTGGGTGTGAGAGTGATGGGTGTGAGAGTGCTGTGTGTGATGGGTGTGAGAGTGCTGGGTGTGAGAGTGCTGTGTGTGATGGGTGTGAGAGTGCTGTGTGTGATGGGTGTGAGAGTGCTGTGTGTGAGAGTGCTGTATAAATGTTATTGTGTGTGTGTGTGTGTGTGTAGGGGGGGGTGAGAGGGGTAAATAAAAAAACAAAACAAAACAAAAAAGTCATTATTCTTCCCCCCCCTCCCTTCTTACCTTTAGCCTGGAAGGGAGGGGGGGACCGGCACGCTGGGACTGGGAGGGGGGGTCCGGCACGCGGTGTTCCCTGGTGGTCCTCGTGGGTGAGTGAACTCTAGCCTGTGAGGCTAGAGTTCACTCTCGCGAGATCCGGCGCGTTGCCATGGCAACGCGCCGGATGTCGCGAGAGGAACCCGGCGGAGCTGCAAGTTAGAGCTCCGCCGAGTCCTCTCTCCAGCCTAGCTGGCTGTCTCCCTCCCTCCCCGCCGGCGGCCGCATGTGGGCCGGTCAGGGAGATCCTTGATCTCCCCACCGGCCCGTCGTGGCAAACAGCGGGGCCGGCGCTAGGAGAGTGCCGGCCCTGCATAGACCGGCAGAGGAGATCCTGGGACCTCCCCTGCCGGCCTCGGCCCCACGGACACCGCGGCCCACCGGGCATTTGCCCGGTGTGCCCGATGGCCAGTCCGGGCCTGCATATACACGCGGCGTGTGTTTGTGCTTTAGGGTGCACACCCTAATGCAATAGGCTGCGCACACCTATGGTTGCATGTTGTGTTGGTGTTTTGGTTGCTTGGATGTACGCACAAACACTGCCACATACATAGATACATATTTACATAGATATACATACACATCAACAAACAGATACACACTGACACATGCACGCAGCCTGACACATGCACACACAAGCAGTTGTACACCCAGACGCATACTGACACACACACACTGACATGTATACACATACACAGATGCCCAATCTGACACACACACACTGACCTACATACACAGATATATTAACACATAGATACACATATACACACATTGACACTGCCTCCCCACCCCTGTTCCCCCCTCCCTCCCTAGAGTAAGGTTAGTAAATAAAGGGGTTTTTAATCCTTTGTATTCCTTGCACTATAATATCCCTTTAATCATGACACTAACTGAACCAACGCCAACACCATGACACCAACTGAACCCTAACCACAATGTATTTTTACTATTTGCCTATTGGCTGCTAGAATATTTTTAAAACAGAAGTTCAGATTTTAACAATCCATTGTTCAGCTGTTTGGTAATGTTCGTACAGGATGAAATCTGTCTGACTCATTCAGAGCCAGGATTATAAAACTCAGTTTTTAAATAGTTTGACCAATGTCCGTATTTTGCGGTTTGAACAGACAGATGGATATGAAAGTCTTTAGTGAATAACTGTGTAACAATATCACTGACCCCAATACGAACGTTAAACCTAGCCCTATCACTAATTTTCACATTTACCTTAACCCTAGTCCTAAAATGAATATCAACACCTAACCGTAACGTTAACAATACCCATACCACTGATTTTAATACTAATGTTAATCATATCACTAATTCTAACACTGAAGCCCATCGCTAACACTCTAACGTAAACAAAGAAACAAAATAAAACATGATTAAAAAAGATATGACTGCTTAATGAACAAACTCTGTCAAGGTTATTCTGTAAAAGCAAACTACACCAAATTTAGATCCAAATGGCAAAATGTTGGCTAAACTAGCCAAGCTATGATTACAGTGGATTTAACCCCATAAGGACCAAACTTCTGGAATAAAAGGGAATCATGACATGTCACACATGTCATGTGTCCTTAAGGGGTTAAGGAGTTGATTTTCCCCAAATCAGATATTGATGCATAAATTGTGCAATCTGGATTTGGTTATAAACTTCCTTAGTTCAAAATAATGATGTATTTTCACGTGAGCCTGCAATGAATAAAAAAATTGAAATCTGTTAATTACTCATCTCAAATATTTAGTTTTTAACATGAAAAAGCAACAAAAAAAGTCTTTGTTCACTTTAACACCCTGAGGAGAGCAGGTCATTTGATAAAAATAAAACAATGCGGTTAATTAGGTCACTGACATAGTCGGTTTTGATAAAGGGATGTTGTCTCCCTCTAGTGACGATATTAGGCACAGCTTTGTTTCCAGAATTCCTTAATAGATTATTAGACGTTATTAGCATCCACAGACTACACAGAAATATAGCAAGAAAAAAAAAACACCACAAATACGTAAAATAGGGACCGGTAGTATGGAGAATCTAGTTTGGTGAATGTTAACAGCATCTCTAATAAATACAACTTTAGCCCAAATTATCTGCTTACTTCCTAAAGATTTTTACCATGCATACTTGCCAAGTGTTCCAGATCGGCTTCGACAGTCACAATTTTCCACCACTATCCAGCTTTTGCAGGGCATTTCTGCCCAATTCACAGAGATTCAGCGGGGCTCTGCACATTATTTGCCCTGAATGGCTGACCTTCAGGGCTGCCCAAAATCCTGGTACAATAATGACCTACCCATTCAAAACCCCAGCCATGCTATCAGGGACACAACGCCTCAACTACTTTCCAAATATACCAAGTACAGCCAGATTTACACTAAAAGTCACCAGGTAGTTCTGTGACGTCGTGGCAGAGTTGGAGTTTTGATCTCTTATCAAATCATCAGTGAAATAGGGGGTTACTAAACCTTGTTATGAGAACCTAACTTCTACAAATTAATATTCAGTTCTGTACAATTCACTCAAAATATATAGAATATACCGAATACAGCTGTTAATCTAAAAGAAAACAAAAAACAAAACATAGTGTAATACAGTAGACGGTATTAGGAACAGCTATTCTGTGAGTGCATCTCTAATTATACTGTATTACACTATGTTGTTTTCATTGTTTTCCCTTGTAGATTAACAGCGGTATCCCCTATAATCTATATATTTTAGTTGTCTTATAAGAGGGTATATTATGGGATATATACCCTGGGGAAGCTGCATCTTAAATCAGTTAAGAGTATTTAGTCCACACCCGGCACTTAGGGTGAGGTTGTGGGTTGTTTTGTATTTATACACACTGTACAATTCGCTGTTCAATGAACCTTTGGACATTGAATAGATTGTACAACTAGGCTCTGCAATATAAAACTGTTCCAAACACAAAAACATGTTAATTTATATCCATATACATTATAAGACATAATGGGAATGGGCACCTGCCCCTTCGCCCACTAGATATGCCCACTGGATATGCTCAGCGTGAGAAACTAATTCAATGATATAAACCAGGCACCTGACATTCATGCCTG